GCCCCGTCGCCGGCGCCGCCCGCCGCCGCCGCCGCCGCCGCCGCCGCCGCTCTGCCGCCGCCGCCGCTCTGCCGCCGCCGCCGCCGCCGCCGCCGCCGCCGCCGCCGCCGTCGTCGTCGTCGTCGTCGTCGTCGTCGTCGTCGTCGTCGTCGTCGTCGTCGTCGTCGTCGTCGTCGTCGACGTCGTCGTCGTCGTCATCGTCGTCGTCTTGGTCACCATTGCAATCGTTGTTGCAGTTTTCGTCGTCGTCGTCACTCTCTGCGCCATGCACCTCCACGTCGGTGAGAATGGGATGCTGCCCCGCAGCACAGCAGAGCATGGCAAACGTATCACGCAGGTGAATGTTTCCAACGCGCAGGTGAACTCCGGTGAGAAGGCCTGACCCGTTGCTTGGGGGCAGCGGGGGCAAGAAGAGCATGTATGCGAGACGTAGACGGGGTACTCTGCAGGCCTCGCAGGCACGCCAGCTAGCTGACCTACAGGATACCGTGTTGTACCTGGCAGCCCAGGTAGGGGGAGCACGGCCACCGCTGTCAGCAAGACAACCAGCACCTCAGCGTGAGTGCCGCCGCCGAGATCCTCGGCTGCTGACTCGCCTCGAACGCCTGATCAGCCAGGCAGATGCGCAGGCGGATCCGCCGACCCGCAAGGAGCTCGTGGCCACTTTATCATACCTTCAGAAGGATTCGACCACGGGCGCGACTACTGCTACTGGTGCCTCCGCCTCACCTCCTGAGCGGCCAGCGCCGATGAATATCCACAAGGTTCTACCACATCCCTGGGGCGGAGTCCCCCATCGGGCACGCTATCCACATCAAAGACAAAGATCTGAACACGAATTCGCCTCCCATCATCGTGTGTGGCTCTCTCAAAGATTCGACAGGCTTACGCCACATCCGCCGACCCCTTGTATTCCTTGTGATAGCAGCGCGAAATCGTCAAGCATCATTAGTCGTTTTCTCTCGTCTTGCAATGTCTGGTCCCTGCAGCGCGGCATTCAATGCAGCGGGGCTTCTCGCGGGACTCTTGGAGGCAGTTTCGAAGTCTCTTGGGGGCCGTTTTGAGGCCGTTTTGTTGCCTCTTGGGTTTTTTTTGGGGGGCCTCTTGGGGGCGTCTTGGGGGTCTCTTGGGGCCTCTTGGGGCCTTCTGCGGCCGTCTTGGGGCGGAAGGCCCAGATTGTCGGTTCGGGCTCCCCTTCTTGGGCCCCTCTGGCCCCTCTTGGGGCCGTCTTGGGGCCCTTTTGGGCCGTCTTTGAAGCCTCTTGGGCTATCTTAGCGCCCTCTTGGGCCGACTTGGGCGCCTCTTTGGGGCCTCTTGGGCCGTCTTGGGGCGGTCTTGAAGTGCTCTTGGACCGTTGTCTGCGCCGTGAAGGCCGACAAGTCAAATATGATGAACGTGTACGTTTTCCCATAGGAAATTGACGATTTTCGGCTCGTCGGCCCTTTTGCAGACTGCTCTTGGAGGCCTCTTGGGCTGTCTTGGAGACGTCTTGGCTCGTCTTCGGGTCATCTTGGGCGTCTTGGAGCGCTCGTTTGGCGTCTCGGGGCCCTCGCGGGCCGTCTTGGAAGCGTCTGGAGGCCTTCTTGGCTCGTCTGGAGCCCCTTTCGGGCCCAAAAAAGCCCCGTGACGCGCTCGTCCAGGGCCATCAGGGGGGGGGTCAAATCTCCGGTTTGGGGTCACTGGGGGGGGGATTATGGGGGGGGGGAACTATCTCACACGCTCAGAGACCCACAAGGGCTCGGCGGACTACAACGGCGTGGTGGACTGGTTCGGGGCCCGTGGGCACAGCGGGCTCTCGGTTATATTTATTCTCTTCAGGGAGACGGTATTTCAAGAAGGCTGGGTTGAACAAAAGATCACCGTCGAGGGTCCGAGCGGTGGTGCAGTTCAACATGGTGCCCAAGTTTTGTTCGCGGGGCCGTCGGCCCCCCGCCGTGCAGGACGACCGACAGGCGTCAAGGACGATACGGTGGACACCACGGTCACGGAGAAACCTGTCAGTTTCCGTATCACCATCGCGAGGGGCTTCGCGGAGGATTGGATGTTCCAGCAGGCGTCAGAGAAGCCCGTCTCATTGGCGGCGTTAGTCCTGAATGCGGACTTGGCCAAACACGTTTTGAAGACCAAGGGCGCAGTGGCGTACGAGAGCGAGGTGACGGCTATCATCGTCGTGTGTGCGCCATGCGTCCAGGGTTTCATCGGATTCAAGTTACCGGCTGGAGTTTTTCTTAACCAGCTAGGGTCTGCGTTGGTTCCAGTGTGGCATCGACTCCGCGAAGACGAAGGTCTTCGCGTCTATCATTCTCGGGTCGCAGGGGTGGTCACAGCAGCCTGTGGTAGGTTGGTGTATCGGCCGAGCGACTCCAGCTCTTTGGGGGTTCTCTCTACTCCCGTTGTGGCTGCGGATGTGCAGCCAGGCTGGATACTACAGAAGACGCCGACCTCTTGGACTCAGGACGATCAGGTGCGGGCTTGGGCCCCAGATAGGGGATTCGCGAATATTTCTAGCGTCGCTCGTTGCGGGACGTGTAATTGGTTCCTTCGAGCTGATCTTGATGCGCTGGTCACGGGACAGGTTATGGAGTTCAAGTCGGGTATCGTGGCCTCCTTGGCACCTCCGCGCTGCGGACAGAGCAGACCACCACCCAAGGAAGCGCCGACGACAGCATGGGGCATGCCGAGAGATGCGACAACGGACACGGCATCGACCCCAGCACCGACGACAGCAGCGCCTACGCCTGCCACATCTTCGACGCCAGCCACACCACCTGCAGACGAGGAGGGAGACGTCCAAATGAGGGAGGAGGAGGAGGATTCACAGAAGTCCAAGGTTGCGAAGCTGGTCCCACCGGCCCCGCCGACGGCAGCGACGCCACCTTGGAAGGATTACTTTAAGCCGAAGGACAGTGGAGGACGTGGAGATTGCTTCTATGGCAGCGCCAGTTTCCACGCCTACACCAGCAAGGCGAACGCGAAACCGTTGAAAGATGTTGGCGTTGCGCGTGGAGGCAAGCTTCAGGCGAATTTGAGGTACGCGGTGGCGGCAGAGATGCTCGAGCAACAGTTCAGCAAAGAGGAGGCGGCCGAGCGAGCGAAGGCAGGCGCGCGGGCGACTTCGAGAGCGATCGCGGTGGCGGCAAAGGCCATGCAGACCAACCTCAGCGTTTAGAAGAAACAGAAGGACCAGTGGCACCTGTGCACGGCCCCTGCGGACATCAAGACCACGAAGAAGTGCCAGCTCATCCTCGTCGAGGGCCACTGCCAGCTCCTGGTGGGCACGAAGCCGCTCCCCGCGGAAATCGAGGCCGACTGGGGGAAGAACGCGAAGCCCTACTCGCACCTCTTCGCAGGAGGAGGACGCAGCACGGTTTCACCTTTGTCATCGAGAGGCGCGCGCATCCTGCTGGGCCCACCGACGCCGTCATCTGCGAAGGCGTCGAAGCGGTCTCGGGCCGTGCCGACGCCAGCGCGATCGTCAAGCATCTTGGCTTCACGGCGAGTCCAGAGAATCTTGGGCTTGCCGAGTGCCAAGGCGACGGCTTCGCCGAAGCCTCTATCCACGCGTGGTGCTCAGAGTGTTCTGGGCCTCCATGGCGATCAACTTCCAGATGTTGCCGCCGAGTATGTAGCAGGTATCTTCAAGTGCCCATGTGGGTGGGGGCCCGAGCTCGGGGGGGGGGGGGGGGGGGCGGGGCAGAACCCAAGCGCGGTATTCAAGCAGGCGTCTGCTCATTGGCGAGATTGTCAGGGCAGCCGACCACCTAAAGAGCAACCCGCAGTGAGACGACAGCGCCTCGGAGTTGGAGGTGCCATGTCGGCGGCGCTGCGGAGGGCGAAGATCAGCGAAGCTTGGGCGCGCTGGGCTACTTAGAGGGCTTCAGTTTCAGCGGAGGCCGACCCAGTCACCTGCGCGCCCGCGGGGGGCTCGGCGACGCCCCGCCAGTTCTCATGCCAGCTCCAGATCCACTTCGCCTGCAGTCGTTGCGGTCGCGGTTTGGTCCTTCAAGCAGATCCCCTGTCGCGTGCGCCTTCCTGGTGTCACTGTCAAAGGTGCGTTGGTTCTCGTGCTAGGCCACGAGAAGGCCATCGAGATCGCCGAGGAGAGGTATGCTCGTGCCACTGGGCGTGCACGCAAGCGGCGAGTCAAGCCAGGCTACTACGCTGAGTACTGCAGCCGCTGCGGCAGGAAGCTCTGCCAGCAGAGCGTGAAGCAGGAGAAGGGCGACACCTGCAGGGTCACTTCGCGCGGGCCACGCGGATGCACCTGCGATGGGCCGAGGTCTAGGGCGTCCAGCTGCAGCTGCGACGTCTTCCTCATCTTCTTCGGAGGTCCCACGACGGCCAGCAGCGGTGACGGGGCCCGCCTCTGGGGGGAGGTTGCCTGCTTCCGCGCAGGACCCACTCGCCTCGGGAGATGGCCCGTCGCCAGCTGCCGCGATGTCTTGACTGGGCCCGCTACTGGGGGGGGGTCGACCGTCTCCTAGCGGGGCCGGCTCTCCAAGGGGGCCCGACGCCGGGGGGCTGCGGAGGGCCGTGGCCGCGCCAGTGCGCTCATCGCGAGCCCTTGCAGCTGCGTCTTCATCGGGGGCCCAACCGCCGACCAAGAAGGCCCGACGCAATTCGACGCCTGTTTTTGCAGAGCCGAATTTAATGGCTGTTAGCGCAGATTGAGCAGATTCTGTTTCGCGTTCACCACCTAAACGCCCGAGGAGATCACCCGCGAGTTTCGTGCCGGGCGCGACGCCAGGGGCGCCCTCAGTATCGCCGGCGCCAGTGCCACCTACGCCTACAGGCCCAATGCAATCTACATCTTCGAGAGTCGTCTGCAGGGAAGGGGGCCGCCGAGCAGCGCCACATGATGATGGGCATTGGCCAGGAGAGCTCCAAGCGCCAGTTCCCCGCGTTCAAGTTTGCACGATCAGCGCCCCTGTGCTCGACAACGCACGCCTGGCGACGGTCTTTGAGAGCCTAGCAGCGTCCACGGCCGGCGTGATTTGCTT